TAGCAGCGGACTCACAACCATCTCTGGGTGTTTTTCTGCACCCAGGTTAGTACATATTTACACGTCGAATGCACACAGGATTATGCCAGGACCAAATCCTGAAAGAAAACATGCGGTAAATGGTTGCTTTAATAAGTCCTGTTCCATTGAAAGGAAATAAAACCTGAGTATTAATGAGATATAATTATATATTTAAAATCTTTTCCCTTGTGCAGTATATAGGATTAATGCCAGTAAACTCACAAACTGCAACATTCTACTCCATTACATCTGCAATGATTAGAGATAGTTTGAACATCTGGCATATAATCTGTGATACAAAGCAGCATTCTGCACTTTAATGGACGTCTGGAGGCTACACATATCTGATTTTATTTCTTTCTGTTAACTCTTTCGTGAGAGAGGAGGAGTGTTACCAGGATGACTCTCCTTTCTTCCCTTCTTGGAACAGGGTCCCGCGCGACTCCCAGGTTCGTTTGCGAATTTGTCACATGCTCCTTGCATTTGCAACAGGGGGCTCGAGATGGAAGCCACCGGATTTGTCCAAAGTTATTTATAAACAGCAAAAAGGGAGCGGCATTAGTATCCAGATTTTTACAAACCTTGAAGAATCCCTACCAATGAAAACAAGGACGTTTTTCTTATTCTATGTGAAATCAAAAGCACACACAAAAAAAATGAAGGGCGTTCACAATCTCTGATATTTCAAAGGCGTTCTGCACACACTCTCTGAATTCAGCTCCCTTCATAATTGTGTACGCGGTAACGTGCCTGTCAATGCTGAAGATTCCAATAGTTGTACATTTTTGATGCATCTTAAGTGTGAGTAGGTAAGAATGTCTTTGACTGGCACAGGCTTTCATTGAAAAAATTAGATGATTTTTCTGCTTCCTGTAGGGTGTGTTTAGCCCCAAGCTAAACAAGGAAGGTTCTAGCCCTACTGGGTTTCTATAGGGAAAAGACAGACAGCTTTGTTGAAACAGGGGGAGAGTGACAGCACTAGCTTTTGCTTTATTTACTGAAATATTGGCTAAAGCCACCACCTAAGGAAACCTTGAACTTGGACTCCATGAACAGTAATGAAGAATGATTGACATGCAACCTCAACAAATCAGGTGTTGTCACTGAGTAGCCTCAGCATTTGAGGGCCTGAGATAGAGTGCTCCCGAGGCTTGGTTTGCTATGAGAACATGCTGGAAATGTGCCAGTGGTAAGTGGATTTGGGGTGAAATAATCATTTTCATGCCTCAAATTTAATGGCTGGTGCTGAATGCTGTAATAAAGGCCGTAGTTACTGCTCATAACTACAGGTGTAATAAGGCGATGCTGGGCCTTCATACCCTTCCAGCAATAATTCATGTGGGAATTAAGAAGCCTTAATGAGTTGAATGTGTCACTTGGGACCTCAGAAATATAGTTCTTAGAAAAGAAGAAAGCAGAAAGCACTCGTCAGAATAGAGATTATGAGGACACTGGCTACAGACCGCGAATGGAGGCTTTTCTCTCCCTGGGTTTTTTGATTCAATCGCCTGTGTGCTTCTCATTCCCATGTGTTGCCATTAATAGTAAAAGTTGAAGCTCTTTGAGGGCAGGTTCTTCTGAGTATCCTGCACAAGATCAATGATTCCCAGCTAGGGGAAAATCTGTGCTCCCCCTGCCCCCCGCCCCGAGATATCAGACAATGTCGAAACCTTTTAGGTTGTCACAGCTTGTGGGGATGGATGTCCTAAAGGACCTATGGATTCAACCTGAGGATGCCGCTAAACTTCCTACAACACACAGAGCCGTCTCAGTGGCAAGAAGCTATCAGGAGCATAACGTCAACCGTGCCCCAGCTGTTGGGCTTCTACTAAGCCAAAGTGCTTAGACTAAATAATTCTTCCCCTTCTCCAGAGCATGCCCTTTCAAAGGCAGAGTCTTTCTCTGAACTCCACAGAAGGCAACAGTTCCTTTTGCTATAAGGTAGTAAATGGAGGTCCATCCCCACCCCTTGATGGATCCACCACGTTGATTTGAAGGCCGTGGCATTCCTGATCCAATCGCTTTTATAAATTTGCTCCTAATTATTATTTTGGAAGAAGTGGAGATTCAGATATGGACCAGACAGACTGTGTCTTATTCTGTCTGTGCACAAAAGATTTGCTGAGCAAGGGCTCTGTGAGCAGACACCATGGGGCACCATAAGAACCTTTTAAGACAAGGAGTTTTCAAGTGTCTCTGGCATGCCCCGGGGGGTGCCAGCCATTCTCGAACTAGTCACAGTGGTCCTTGGTCCTTCAGGAGCAGATTCAGCAGGACACCCACTTGTCCATACTTAGGAGCCATTAGCACAGGTTACTAAGCATACTCAGATTTAATGAACGGTTTGGTTCAAAATAGTCCTAGAATTCTCATTTTTAACCCTCTTAAAATCAGACGAGTGTTAGTACCAGATCCCTAAATAGTTTCTTTCTGCATCTCCAGTTCCCTGCCTTAATGTGATCCAGATGTCAGGTGGATATCAACCCCAGCCCCAGCCTGATGACCTGAGAGTTCCAGGACCTAGAACTCCAAAAATCCCAGCTCTGGACAAACGAACTAACTTCTGGGGTCTTTATTTCCACCAGCTTCTACTGTCATCCAAACCCCTCTGCTTCCCACTTAAAGTAGCGCTCCCTGGAAGAAGCTGGCTGTGATGAACCCAGGGTAAAAGTGTTGAGGAGGTGGGGTGGGGGGCTCACTTCCACACAGCAGATAATTTAAAACAGAATGATAATTTAAAACAAAAGAGCTTCATTTCTTCTTTTTTTTTTCCAGGACATCTCTTTCCGGGGACTCATGTTAATAAGTGCATACCGGCACATTCTAGTACTTTAGTGTGCAAAGCAAATTAGCCCCCGTCACCTGCATCCCCCAGGCTCAGGGCCAGGCTCCACTGCCCTTATGCCATTTCCATGCCCATGAACCTATTCCTAAGTCCAGTAGTCACAGCCCTCGCCAGACCAATTCTCCAAATTTCAGCTTCCGAAACAAAGGCCGTTATTCCCTCCCTGATATGAATTCTGTCACTGTAAATACACATCCTCAGCAGTCACTTTTTGCTCTGTAGTATTTGTTCCTGTTACAGCCCAATGTGATAGGGAAGGCTGACTCTGACCTTCCCGAAACTGGGTCAGGTGACAGTACATCATCTGTCCTCCTCAGCCAGGTGCCTTTTCTTCCCTTCCTTGAAAACAACCTGGAGTGTGATTGGAGTGGGTCTGATTGTCTGATAGCGCGTGTGTGTCTCTCCCACTAGGCTTTGAGTTCTTCACGGGGCAGGGGGGGCACCATACTGCTTCTCTGTTGACCCCCTGACACATTGCCTGACCTCAGTGGTCAGTAGTCCATGTGTGTGGAGGGAAGGAGGCCGTACACATCACAGTCTTTGGTCTTACCACATCGGTGGGGGACATGAGTGTCTATTGGGGGACATAAGTGTGAGGGGGTGAATGTGTGCAGCGCTTAACACTACACTACATGACGGACACACTCCTGTCTTTTAGGATTCCTGAGACACAGTGACCTTGTGAATGCCCCTAAGCTGACCATAGAATAAATGGCCCCTCATTTGGCTTGGTACCTGCCAGGGTGACGGGAAACAGGCTTTTTTTTTATTGAAGTTGGTTGGACATATGCAATAGAGCTTTCTAGAAACTTCCTCCCCTGGGGATTTATTTCCTTTTTTATTTCCCAATCTCCTCACCTGCCTTCCCAAGGTCTTTGGAACCACCATTCCCAATCTCAAGTGGCTGGTCTCCAAGGTAGAAAAGCATTTCTTAAGCCCAAAGACTCAAAAGGTAAAGATAAAAATATCCGCGTGTAATGTGATTTGTGGGGCATCACCCGGAGCTGGAAGCTCCTGGCATCCCCTTAGTCTCACCGGCCTCCATAGTTGGAACCATCTGTTCAATGGGAAGTCCAGGCTGCTGTCACCCTCAGAGAAGGGGACTTTATACCTTGTCCTTTCTGCCTCTCTTCCAACTACTGTTTTCCCCTCCTGCTTTTTCTGAGTCCAGGAGCACATACTTGGATGTTGTCTCCGTGTACTGGATCAGCCTCACTGCGCCCTATAGGAAGCAGTCCCTGGCATCCCAAAACCCAAGGGGTTCTTCTCTCTCCAGCTCACAAAAACTGTCGCTGCTGCTTGTTTCATTCCTCCTCTCCATTCTAGAACAGTGACTGATCCCCTTCCACTGTGGGGCAAACACAGAAGCCCCAGGTCTGCTAATGCCCGCAGAGGAATGGACAGTCCCCTGGGAGGAAGGAGTCTCCCAGGACATGCTGACTCGCCCGGGACAGGTGTTAAGTGCCTGAAGGGCATGACAGGAAACCTTTGGGGTCATTCTGCTGGGGATTTGGAAAGGCTTTCTATAGGAGATGTCCCTGGCATTGGCCCTAAAAGTCCTGTAGGACTGAAAGCAGAAGACACGGAAGAAAGCCAGCCGAGGCAAAGTAAATCAGTTTAATCAGTTCATCAGACCTGTCACACCTTGACTTTGAAATTTACCCAGATGATGAAGATCTTCCTATAGTCTGGTCTTTGTTTCCCATTAAACTATGGGATTTTTCTCTTTTATTCAGTTGTTAAACATTGATCTGGAACCACAGAAGAGCTGATTCTTCCAGGGGTCTGGAAATAGTGGAAAATAATAGAACTTCCCAGAAGGAGGAGCAGGCAGCCCCACAGGCAGAGAAGTCTCTGTGGGGCCTGCAACCGTGGGTGGACAAGTCTGTGGAGTGGACAGAGATGGGAAAATACCTGAGGCCTCTGACTGCAGTCTGACACCTCCTTGCTTATAGAAGAGTGATTATTTCTAAGTGACTCCAAGAGGGATAAGGGGTCTCCTCAGTGTTGATCATTGCAGCTAGATTTCTATTGAAAATTTATTTTACTGGTTCCTATTTTATGTTCATCCTATTTCCAAATGGATCTGAGACCACTTCTCATAAAAACAGATATATTTATTTATATCAGCTGTTGAAAATACAGGTACGTGTTAAAACTCAGAAGACAGATACGATGTGATAAAGCGAATGGCTCATGGACCAACATCACCCTCCTCCTCCATGTCTCTGATCTGTCTAGGGTCTGATACTCAAGACTTTTGAAGACCTTGTCTCCAGGGTTCCCCTCTATGGACAAACTAGGTGGGGCCCATTATCTCCATTTTAGCTGAGCGACCTGAAAAGTTAAGGGATGAGCTCGAGATCCAATTAGCAGTAGAGCTGGGGCAAGTACCTGTCCTCAGATTCTCTTTAATTCCTCCTCCTTTACTCTGAGAGCATCTGTGGGCAGACAGAAGGGGCCTTGGTCCTCGGGCTTCATTGTGCCTTCTGCACTGACATTCCCAAACGGCTGCACTTTGAAGCAAACCTGTCTGAGCAAACAGGCATTTGCATCTTTCAAAGAAGGGCCTTTGAAGTCCTGGGTCCGATTCCTGAGGACACCTTCCTGTAGCTGGAGCAGGGCCATGGACACACACACATGCACTTCCTCCCAAGGCCCCTTGTTGGGCAGGGCTGGCCCTTTAAGGGCTCACTTCCTCCTCCTGATCTGTATGGCATGTCTGTGGCTGCAGCTTTCTCTTCCATATTACCCATTCATCCTCCCTGGGTTTCTCTGGAATGGTCACTGGAAGTTCCACATATGGCCTATCACAATCTGTTATGAGAATAACAGCGGATTCAAAGTGAGAATCAGTAAGAAATATGTTTTATTCTCCCCACGGTCTAGTCCAGGGTGTGAGCGGCTGAGCTGTTTTCTTTCCTCCCTGTAGTTCCATGCTCCCCCCCCACCCAAGCCCGCCACCCCCGCCCCAGCACAACAGAAAGGCAAGCTGATGTCTACGGAGAGCCAGGCAGATTGAGAACAAACACATGGCTTTAAATACTTGTCTTTCTGCATTATGAATTGTCCCGTGAGACTTTGGTCCACAAGGCTGGGGTCCAGCAGAACCCAGGATTCAGGCACCATCGGGGGAGCAGGCACACTTTGGGGGTTGAATGAACTCAGTGCCCGCTTATCCTCAGAAAGATTCCAGTCAATGCAGAAATGAACATTTGTGCATTTTTTTTCCCTCTTACTGAAATTATCATTTTTTTTTTCTTGCTAAGAGAAACAGCTCCCACACCTTAAGGGAGGGAGCCAGAGACAGAGTGTTATCTAATGCAAATCCATTCTAAGAAGGTTGTGGGGGCCATCTGGTGTCCGATGCAGACAGGACCTGCTGCGAGATGAATTGGGAGGACAGGGGACAGGGTGAGAGTGAGGGATGAGGGGTGAGAGGCTAATTTCTTTTCATCCGTGTCAAAAAACAGCCCATTTGGGAGGATAAGAAGAGGGGAAAAAATCACCTTATGTCGTGGGAAGCAGATCAAAGCAGAAAAGATAATATGTCTAAAAGGAGAGGCCGTTGATGAACAAAGCCAGGGAGAGGTAGAGGCGGGGGCCACCTGGGGCCAAGCTGGCCCTAGCAACCGTCTGAATGGGCTCCTCTGGACAGCAGGAATCCCGACACCACTTGTTCAGGGTTCAGACCCACAGACACTAGCACTTCCTGCGACTTTTCCCTCTGGGCTTTATGTTTCCTGAAAAAAAAAAAATGTAGTCCCCATCGCCGCTTTCTCTGCGAAGCTGAAATAATTCATCAAATATTTGGAATGTGTAATTAAATATCTAATGCCAATTAGCAAATTACTAATGAAATAATCAGGGACTTTTATGGTTTATAGTTCGGCTCGAATTTTAATTCTAAGTGGTTATTGATTCTAAATAGAGCATAATCTGAGCTGCACAACATTAGGTAGGTATAGGGATAGGAAATGAGAAAGAGGAAGAAGGTTCAGGGTCACGGTGATGAACACGGCAGGTGCTAATCATCATAATGCATCCTGCGCAAGGGAGGGCCAAGGCCGTGGGCTGTCCACTATCCAGCATCAGTGCTGAAAGCAGGGAGGGAGACACAGAGGTCTGCTTGCTCCTCGGGGCCCGGGAACACTGTATACACCTCCCATCCCGGGGAGCTAAGGGTCATGGCTATGTGACCTCAGACTGATGAACTGATACCCCACCATGCTTCAGTTACACCATACCCAGGCTCCAGGGTAAGCAGGGGTGGGCCAGAGTACGGGAGCTTCTAAAGCTTGTTCCTTTAAGGTAGAAGGTGATGGCAACACTCCTGAAAATGTGTGTGTGTGTGTGTGTGTGTGTGTGTGTGTGAGAGAGAGAGAGAGAGAGAGAAAGAGAGAGAGAGAGAGAGAGAGAGAGAGAGAGAGAAAGAGAGAGAGAGAGAGAGAAACAGCTCAGACTACAAGGAAAACATCACTTAATTCTAAGATGGTTGGGGCACATGATGTTCAGGGATACATGGTTACCCACAGGGTGTGGGAGTACATGCTCCTCTGTGGGGTTCTGGGAGTTCACAGTTATTTACGGGGTACAGGCTTACTTAGAGCATACTGGGGACCCATGGATCCCTATGAAATGAGAGTGAACGTGGTTTCTTATGGGAGCACATGATTCCATTGGGGATGTGGAGGTACGGAGTTTCTTGTAGAGTTCAGGAGCTGATTGGTGACTTTGGGGAGTCAGGACCATAAATATGCACAAGCCGCTTGTGACAGTTTGTTTTCCAATGTCCTTCTCTTCTTGTATGAGAAATAAAGTGGTAATCACACACACACGCCAATTTTAAACACTGAAGCAGGGCCCCTTCAGGATATCATTTTGCCAGAGTGTTTAAAAAAGCTAATGTCACGAGAAGGTATGAAAAATAATGCAATTTCATTTTTTTGTGAGAGATATTTTTTTTCACCCATCTTATTTCACCTGTTCCATACACAAGATTTACCGTGGTTGCAAACAGTAATCATCCCTGTTGCCCTTAATTGTCTTTCTATCCAGTCCCTATTCCTGCAATTCTTCATAGAGGCTAGTTCATGTAATTTTCATGAATGACACTTTGGCCTCTATATTATCATCACCCCATTTCACAGATAAAGAAATCGAGACCCAGAGAATTTCAACAACTTGACCACGTTTGGGACGCTGTTAAGTGCTGAAGCCAAGCCTAAAGCCCATGCACATGTAACACCAGCACTGGGACTTTTACCAGGCTGCCACTTGGCTGTCACTGAAAACCAACCAACCAACAATGTGAAGAGTAAACCTGAGGCACAAGAAGCCCAGGGGAGGGGGGAATGGGGCAGAAGCTGAGCTCCAAGGTGAACCTGGACCCAAGTCTGGCCAAGCTAGTCCTCCAGGGCCAACGGTGAAGGAGGAGCTGGCCCAGGCCTCTGGCAACTGTGAGGTGGTCCAGGGATGGGATGCAGATGGCCCTCGGGTTGTCTGGCTCAAGTTTCATGGCTGCCCTCTCCTGCTTCCGCCTGGGCCAGACCAGCGACCGGAAGACCTGGTTGCCCTCCCCCCCCAAACCTCGATGGCATCTCTTAACAAGAGGGGACGAGACGGCTCTCTATACAGCTCAGGAGTGATTTAAATACTCCTCCGGCTCAAAGGGGAATCTTGGATTTCATTAATTAATACATCAATAGGAGCCAATGGAGAAAAACATGTCTTGTTATCTGGCTTCTCAGATGCTAGACATGGGCTCATTAGCCTTAAGCATATCAGCCCGATAACACTATTTATTCCATACAGAATAATGATCTACTTTCAGGAATACTGCAGTGAACCGAAAGGCCGAGTCCATCCATTACCGCTGATCCCCCCGCACCCACGTGCGTGGTTGCCACCCTCCATCAGAAGGGCTAAGGGGGGCACAGCCCCAGCCCTCGACCCCGTGGGCCACCTCAACACGCTGCTCCGCACAACAGACCTGCAGACACATACAGTCACCCCCCACTTCAGAGATGAGCTTAAGTAGCCTAGGCAAGGTCCGTCACAGCTTGAATCAAGACAGATTCCAACCCGGGCCAGATGCACAAAAGGGATCTGAGTTGTTTCTGCAGATCCATCCAAACTCCTTCCACAGACACCATCCAAACTCCTTCCCCCAGAGAGGAGGGAGAGCGGCGTAGGAAAAAAAGAAGAAGAAAGTGGTCAACCCACGAGTACTTCTCGCTGACCATTGTCTAATAAGGAGAAGCAATTTAAGATTGTGCCATTGTTATTTCTGTTTTAAATTACATAATCTGTTTAATGACAGTGTCTTCAGAAGGGGCCATTAGAATTATAATGCAGTCCTGAACCAGTCAGCCTTGAAAGCCAAGGCAGAAAAATAAGCATAATGTGGTGTTGGCGGGGGCCATTCTGAGAGGCTAAGGACCCTGGTAGAGAAGGCGGCTATCTGCTAAATGATGACCCCTTGAGTGGGCAGAGGAGTTTATTCAGCCAGACTGGTGACAACTGAGCAGAATTTAGTGGCCCCGGTAGTTCTAAGGTACTTAATGTGGGACTATAGAACTGCAGGACAAAAGACTTCTAGAAAGATCTGCCTCCATGTGGCTCTCAGCTCACCGTGTGCTTTCTGACCTGGGAAACCCCAAGGGGGTTCCTAATTCACCAAACTGTGCAAACCACAGGGTCCTGGGATCCATATCTCCGTCCGTGGATCACCCCCACACAAGGATGAGCGTGTTTTGGTCCCTCCTCTGCGTGTACTCTGAAGACACAGAACAAGAATGATCTGAGAGCTTGGTCCCAGAGCCCTTGGAGGTCAGGGAGGCCAGATGGGAGCTGAGACTGTCATCAAGTGCTGAGCCAGCCGTCCTGCCTGGACCACAAATAACAAGAACTTCTTGCTTATAGGAGACACCTATGGGAGCCAATGGGGGTCTTCCAGGGGAAGGGAGGTGTCCCAACCCATGTTTGAAGGGCTTCTAGGAGGGAACAGCAATGGGCAAGAAAGAGCTTCTTGGAGAAGAATCTTCGAAGCTACCAAATTGACTGTAAATGATGAAATGAGGCAGATGAGCCAAGGACTGGGAAACAAGGTCTGGAGGTGGAACACCTGGCTAAGGGCTTCGGTGGCCCTGTCTCGGTCATTGAGGAGCCATTAGCTAGGGCAGGCATAGGACATTCACCCTGACCAGAAACAACCCCCACTGCAGGCAGTGGCCTTGTTTACCAAAAGGAGGGGTAAACATTCTAAGGAGCAGACGCATTTCCATCTTGGTGGTGGGTCTTTTAGTAGTACAGGTAAGGGGACTGATCAGTCTTGTGCAGAAAACAAGACGTTGTGGGGTGTCATTGAAAGTGCCATATATTGTCCAGGAAATTACTTCCCAGAGGCACAAATACTGCAGCCCCTGCTCGTGGCGACAACCCAAGGAAAGCACCGTGATGTTTAACAGCACCAGCTCTACAGTCACGCACTGCCCACAGCAGGCTGTTCATGATCCCGACAATAAAAAGTCCAAACAAAAGGCTCCTCTATGCGGCCAACAGCCATGCGGGAGGAGGGAGATCTGGCTCCGGGAGTCATTAAAAATATTTTTTTTTTCGAATTAATAAAATGCAACCGTCCACACTCAAGACCAACAGCTTGTAAAATTGGATTTCCAAAAGATGAAGGGGAAAGGAGACCAGCATTGGGCAGAGGCTGCAAAACAGAGAATGTGGGAAGGAGCGGGACCAATAGCTACCAGCCAGGAAGCCCTAATGGGTGTCAGTCACAGTGACACTAATGTGGTCACTCTGCTCGGGGATGACGATTTCTAAATCCCACCAACTAGAAGGAACTGTGTGGCAAGAGAAAAGTGGGGGTTCCTGCTGCCCTCACCTCCTTAGGTCCTTCTATTGAAAGGTGGCAGGCAGAGCTGGAGGCCCCACGTGAGGGAAATCACCGTAAAATCACTGGCGATCTTTATTGGTCTTTGAGATGAAGTTCCTTAAAAATCCTCATGTATTTCTTTCTCTCCTCCAAAAGACTGAGCTTTCACACAGGAAGCAGTCTGGAAAAACATCTATCACAGAGAAGGCTTTTAAAATACATTTGAAGACTGAACTAAGGAAAGAAGGGATAAAGTTAGTGTCCTGTGTCTATGCTTACCCCAGTGTCCCCTGGGAGCAGAAGGGCTGAGCCCATGCATGGGCTGCTCCTCACTGTATCCTAAGCCCAGCATTATGTCTTACATATGGTAAATGTTTAGGAAACACCAACCAAAGAAGCAAGTGTGGTCAGCCACAGAAGCCATCCAGGGCCACCCTCAGGCTGCACTCAGCGTTCCCAGTGTCAAAGTTATGGTCATCCCGGGCAGCCCAGGGAGCCCAGCACATCCATGTTGGTTACCATCTTTAGAAAAGTCAATCCTTCCTTCCGTTCCAGTCCTGTTCAAACCATCCCAGTTTATGAGTGGAGCAACTCTTTAACAAAAGCTAGAATTGTCAGTGAAATGAGTGGGTGACAAGTCTCCTGTGAGAGGAAAGAGCATAGCATGTGCTAAATGAATGGGTGCATTGGGGTTGGGGGGCAGTGTGCTTCTTAATTGACAGCCTGAGCAGCACAGGTCGACTCAGCCCAAGAAAGCAGTGGTGTAGCACTCTGCAATCTGACCTCGTGTTCCACGGGCCCTGGACATCACTTGTCCTGGTCTGCTTTGTGTCTCTGTTTAAAAAAAAAAAAAAACTGAGACTGGGTACTATATAAGAATAAGAGATTTATTTAGCTCCTAGTTCTGGAGGTCTAGGAACACAGCTTTGGGTGAGAGCCCCATGGTGGGTAGTGCCATATGGTAGGACTGTGAGCAAGGCAGAGAGATGGAGAGAGGAGTGCTGTGTGGCAAGGGAGTGAACGAGAGAATGGAGAGGGCCCGGGCTCACTCTTTTGTAAGAGCTCACTCTTGCCTCCTGAAGATCCGCATTAAGCTGGGAGTGGTGGCACATGCCTGTCATCCCACGGGCTGGGGAGAGTGAGGCAGGAGAATCACAAGTTTAAGGCCAGCCTCAGCAGCTTAGTGAGCCCCTAAGCCACTTAGGGAGACCCTGCTTAAAAACTGAGAAATGAAAAGGACTGGGGATGTATCTCCGTGGCAAAGTGACTCTGGGCTCAATCCTCAGTAACCACCCCCCCCCAAAAAAAAGACCAGCATTAATTCTACCAGGAGGGCTGTCACCATCCGACCACCTCCAATGAAGCCCTACTTCTAGAGGTCCCACCTCCTTTCAGCACTGTTACATTGGAGACTGTGTTTCTAGCACATGAATCTTTGGGGGACAAACCATATTCAAACCAGACCACCTTCTCCTCCATTTGTCACCCAATATCCCAGAGAAGTCCTCTGGCTTACTCCTCTCACCTCCTTCAGCAGCCTCTGTTTCCACCCAGCCCATCCCTGCCAATATTTTCTAAGTGCGTGGTCTCTGCTTCCACCCACCCCTCAAGCCTATGCCCAGAGCATTCGCTGATGGTCTTATGTGCTCCACCCAGTGGTCTCCTGGGCAGTTCTGCTATTTAGGGCTCCAGAAAGACCCCTAAGTCTCCACCTGAATCTAAGACTCAGCTTCTCCCGACCTCTTTCCTACTATTCCAGCCACCCCAGTGAGCGCTGCCGTGGCTTCTCTTCCCACTTGGAATAAGGTGGACTTCTTGGCGGTCTCTGGTCGGCCTCTTACCCTCACTACTCCACCTATTCATCTTGTCCCTCCAAGTAGAATCCATGTTCTCCAGAGGCAGGGATGTCTTCCCTACCCTGTGGGTCCCTCAGTGCCAAGAAGGGACAATGCACCCAATAGCCTCTGGTGACAGACATGGCCGTTTATGTCACTCAGTGGAGGCAGAATGAAGGAGCCTGTGGTAGGGCGGTGAGGCCATTTTTCCCGCTATGAATGCTGCACCGTTTGCTTTCAAAAGCGATTGCTTCGCCTGCAGTCGAGCAGGCAGAGGACTGTGCTGTAGGCTGAAGGTTTATATCCTTTCAAAATTCCTGGGTGGAAATCTAATCCCGAATGCAATGGTTTCTGGAGGTGGGGAGTTGGGGAGGGGGTTAGTCAGGAGGAAAGACCTCTTGAATGGGATTAGTGCCTCTATGAAAGGAAACTCAGAGAAGTCCCTTTTGCATGTGAAGACACAGAGAAATCAGAAAGTGAACCCTCACCCAGCGTTGGATCACCCAGCACCTTGACTTGGATTTTCCTGCCTCCAGAACCATGAGAAATAAACTGTTTACCAACCACCCAGCCTCTGGTGCTTTGTTATAGCAACCCAAAGGGACGAAGACACACTCTGAGCCCCCTTCACAACCAGGCTGAGGCAGAGTGGGGCTGTGCTCCGGGGTTCAGACCGTTCCCAGGAAGTCTTAGGGAGCAAGAGTTCCTTCGCCATTCCGGGCTGGGTCTATTCTTAGCCAAGCTCACAGCCGACTCTGAGGAGAAGGCTGGTTGTCGTTAAGCGCTCACCAGCGTCTGGCTTTCTCTGTCCAATCTTCGGTGGCGCCTTCTGTTTCCGCCTTCAGGTATATGGTTCGTTCCTGTCCTCGTATCAAAATGGGTGTGGGGGGGTGGGAAGGAGCCATCTGGAAGAGGTGCCGAATCCTCTCCTCATTCGGCACCAGCTCCTCCATACTTCCCCCTCCCACCTCGGCTATCTGGGCCTTTCTGTTATTTTTTACAAGACTTGGCTCAAAACCCATGGTCTTACTAGAGCCTGGATGATAATTCCCCCCTCTGGGGTGACCACCATCATCTTTGTTAATGAAGTTCCATGGGGACTTCAGGCTCAGACCAGTCACAGAGAGGCATGTCCCAGGGGCAGGTCACTAACTGGCAGCCCCATCTCCACATGAGGCCTTCTGGGCTGCCTCCTGACCCCTGTGATCCTGCCGAGAGCAAGCCTGCTGAGACCTGGGCCTCCTTACCTGAAGGTGTGCTTTGGAAAAGAGGCGCCATGCCTCCCTCTCTGTCAATCCTTGGAAGCCCGTTCTGAACAAGGAGGATGGAATGTGCAGAGGCAGAGCCTTCTAGAATCCTCTCATCACTCCACAATCTCATTCATTCATTCATTCAATATTTATTCATTTATTCATTTTGTTCCTGCCCTCATGCAGTTGTCCCCAACAAGCAAGCACCTGGGGGTCAAGGGCACTTGACACAGGTACTTTACTTAAGAGATGATCCCAGGAAATTCAAAGGAAGGAGTGGGAATGTGAGACAGGGAAGGTGACCCTGGGTGCATTCATGGGTAGGTGACCACTGTGGGCAACTAGGATTCTCAATCCTGCAGAGGACCCTCCGAGAAACTGGGGAGAATTTCAGAGACTATAAGTTCCCAGGTGCTTATTCACAGACTCCTAAATCCCATTGATTGAGTCTTGACCCGGGGACATTAAATCCCCAGCACCTTTATGTGTTTCTATTTTTTTTCTTTTTATTTATTTAATTTTTTTTAGTTGTAGATGGACACAATGCCTTTACTTAATTTATTTTTATGTAGTGCTAAGGATTGAACCCAGTACCTCACATATGCTAGGCAAGCACACTGCCACTGAGCCACATCCCCAGCCCTATTTTCATTTTTCTTTCCTTTATTTTATTTTATTTTATTTATTTATTTTTTGGTAAGCAGCTAAGCAAGCTTCCATGGTTTTTCATGGAGGGAAGAAGTTGTCAGTGGCTGGGAAGTGTCCACAGCAGTTCCTAAGAGATTCAAAGACCAAGAGGACACAGGACAGGGCATTGAGAGCACGGGCTGACGTTGATGGGTTCACCTTGATGCCAGGCACTGTGTGAGACTGTGAGAATGCACTTTTCTGGTTCTGAACAAACTTACTATCTAAGAGTCAACTATACCTTTTGATGGGTTGAGGATTTTCTTTCGCAGAACTCCATGAGGGTGGGGGGGAGTGTGGTCCTGTTAAACGGAAGTTCAAGAAGTCTAGACTCTACTTCTTGCATGAACTTATTAATAAATGTGGAACCATGAGACATACTGAGGCTCCCATCATGGACCACCATGGGGGCCAAGCATGAAGCAACCAAGGTCACTGCTTCCCAAATGACCCATCCTAGTCTAGGTGGAGACAAACACGACCCTCCATGACGTCACCATAGTGAGTTCCACACTCTGGTCCAGAGAGATATACTTTGGAACCACGGAGGAAATAATGAACCCAAAGTTGACCAGGAAAGACTTAGTGGAAGGGATGATACCTAATTTTATACCCTTGAGGGACAGTAATCATCAACCCTCTCAGGGGATTCCTGCTGTGGGATACAATTTTAATTTTCACTTGAAAATTCTCCTGGGGTTTAGCATGAGTGATTTCCTTACAGGACAACCTAACTTCAGTAACAGGATCTGCCAGTCGCCCCTTGATCTGCATGACAATGAAAAATATTCAGAAAACAATGAAGTGATCCTCTACAAGCTGACCTGCCTGCAGAAGCTTTATTCCCTAACCCTCACTGGATAACTCAGCAACCAAAACCAGACATTTATTTTTTGCAGTTCTGGAGTCTCAAAGTCAGATATCAGGGTGCCAACATGGTTGGTGTCTGGTGAGGGCCTGCTTCCTAGTTCATAAATGGCCGTCTAATCAATTTGTCCTCACCTGGAGAAAAAAATGATGAGAGAGCTCCCTAGGGTCCCTTATTAATCTGATTTGTGAGGCTCCACCCTCCGTGACTTAATTGTCCTCCAAAGACCTCACCTGTTAATACTACTAAATTGGAAGCTAAGAAAGATCTCAAAACAGAAACTGGAGGCGAGAGTTTGCAGGGGAGACCGGCATGCACTATTCAGTCCATAATAACCCAGCATCCTGGTCTTTGGGCCCCAGTCTTCCTGGTCTGCTTGCTGATGGCAAGCAGGAGTCTTTAGATCTGCTTTGGAGCACACTGACACTCCCTGCTGGCACTTCCTCACCTACCCTCTCTCGTCCCCTCATATCCAAATTCTATTCTTCATTCAAGGTCCATCGCTTCATGTCACGGTGCTTTCCTGGGAAGTGTTTTCTCTCTTTAATTTTCTGTTCCCACTGCTCTTATGCTCAGTCACATCAACTTTGATGTGCATGACTGAACTCACTGAGGGAGGAATTGCAGACACAGATGGACAGGCCATCAAGGAGCTATCTGTGCAGGGAGACTGGTCCCAGGACGCAGTAGAGCACATTACAGGAGTCACTGCAGCTTTTCTGATTTGGGTCCTTCCTAAGATCATCAAGCAGTTGTGAGTTTCCCAAGAACAGGGCCCATGTGTTGCTGGCCCAGCTAGGAACTGTGCAACCAAGGTCCAGCACCTACCGGAAACTAGTGAATGATCCATGAAATGTTGAGTCACATATGGTCCTCACCAGGCATGAGACAACCAACAGGCCCTGTTCCCATGTTTCGCCTGACCATAAGGGATCAGAGTATCACATTCTGGAATCCGTGCCTTCTTCTCTCTGGGACCACAAGTTTACTTCGGCACCACAACAATCTTTAGATGTTGCCCTATAAATGTGGCATAGATAATCCTTAGAGA